ACGTTTCTCATTGGCTTGGTGTCTAGGGATTCCCGGAATACATATTTTTTTAATTAAAAGTAGAGCATGACAATGAGAAGTAGAAAGAACAGTAAGAAGCACTGGGACGACGGAAACCAGAGTGGACAATGAGGAGACACAGATGATTAGAAGTAGAGTAGATGATGAAAAGTAAAGCAGATGGTGAGAAGCAAAGAGGACGGTGCAAAGTAGAGCAGGACAATGAGAATGGAGTGGATCATAAGACGTAGAACAGGATGATGAAAATTAGAGCGAATCATAAGACGTAGAGAAAGACGATGAGCGGTAGAGCAGATCATAAGACGTAGAGCGGGAGGATGAGAAGTAGAGCAGATCATAAGATGTAGAGCAGGACAATGAGACGTAGAGCGGATCATAAGACATAGAGCAGGAGGATAAAGAGTAGAGCGGATCATAAGATGTAAAGCGGGAGGATGAGAAGTAGAGCGGATCATAAGACATAAAGAAGGACGATGAGCGTAGAGCAGATCATAAGACAGAGCGGGATGAGAAGTAGAGCGGATCATAAGATGTAGAGCAGGACAATGAGACGTAGAGCGGATCATAAGACATAGAGCAGGAGGATAAAGAGTAGAGCGGATCATAAGATGTAAAGCGGGAGGATGAGAAGTAGAGCGGATCATAAGACATAAAGAAGGACGATGAGCGGTAGAGCAGATCATAAGACAGAGCGGGAGGATGAGAAGTAGAGCGGATCATAAGATGTAGAGCAGGACAATGAGACGTAGAGCGGATCATAAGACATAGAGCAGGAGGATAAAGAGTAGAGCGGATCATAAGATGTAAAGCGGGGAGGATGAGAAGTAGAGCGGATCATAAGACGTAAAGAAGGACGATGAGCGGTAGAGCAGATCATAAGACAGAGCGGGAGGATGAGAAGTAGAGCGGATCATAAGACGTAAAGAAGGACGATGAGCGGTAGAGCAGATCATAAGATAGAGCGGGAGGATGAGAAGTAGAGCGGATCATAAGATGTAGAGCAGGACAATGAGACGTAGAGCGGATCATAAGATGTAGAGTGGGAGGATGAAAAGTAGAGCAGATCATAGGATGTAGAGCGGGAGGATGAGAAGTAGAGCGGATCATAAGACGTAGAGCGGGAGGATGAGAAGTAAAGCGGATCATAAGATGTAGAGCAGGACGATGAGACGTACAGCAAATCACAAGACGTAGACCGGGAGGAAGAGAAGTAGAGCGGATCATAAGACGTAGAGAAGGGTGATGTGCGGTAGAGCAGATCATAAGACGTAGAGAAGGGTGATGTGCGGTAGAGCAGATCATAAGACGTAGAGAAGGACGATGAGCAGTAGAGAAGATCACACGTGCACCGTTTAGGAGGTATTGATTTTATCTACAGACTCCCCTGGGGAGTATTAATTGCAGCTACCCACCTAACCATCGGAGAGGGAGCTTTTACAACCTCCAGAGGGCAGTACCAAAGCTATCACCTGAGGGGAGCTCCGGACCACTTTGATGTCCCATTAACAGCATCCAGGACCACAGGAGGGAATATACCGGACTCCAGGTATTATCCAGATTGGCAGATGACATCAGGAAAAATATAACAAAACGCTCATTAAATTGCGCGTTCTGGTGAGTGCGCATTCTTATCGCACTTTATATCACAGCACCTTACTCATAGGAGGACAAAGTCACATGAGAGCACCTGAAGTCACTTCAAGTCACCTGATGAACTATCTATTTAATGATGTATATACACCTAATGAACTGTCTATTTAATGATGTATAAACATTTAATTTTCATATTGTGATTTTCCTCTAGTGCTGCACTTTTGATTTATATTGTCTTTTAGAGGTTTTTTATGGTTACCTGGTGCACAGCTGCTATACTTTTTATGTGCGCTCACATATATTTACCTTATTGGGTGTTAAGAAGTAGAGCAGATGATGATGAAAAAGTAGAAAGGACAGTAAGAAGAGACGGAGTAGAAAGGATGATAAGCAGTAAAGCAGGACGATGAGAAGTAGAAAGGACAGTAAGGAGAGGAGCGGATGTTAAGCAGTAAAGCAGGACGATGAGGAGTAGAAAGGACAGTAAGGAGAGGAGCGGATGTTAAGCAGTAGAGCAGGACGATGAGGAGTAGAAAGGACAGTGAGAAGTTGAGCAGGATGAAGTAGAAGTTAAAAGGACAAAAACGAGTAGAGTGGGACAAAGAAACAGAATGAATGATAAAAAGTAGAAAGGACAATGAGAAATAGAGCAGAATATCAGAAGTAGAAAGAACGACAAGAAGTAGAGCAGATGATACAAAGTAGAGCAAGACAGCGAGAAGTAGAGTGGATGATACGAAGTAGAGCAGGACAATGAGGAGTAGAAAGGACAGTAAGAAGTAGAGCGGATGTTAAGAAGTAGAGCAGGATGATGAGGAGTAGAGCGGACGATACGAAGTAGAGCAGGACGGCGAGAAGTAGAAAGAACAATCAGGAGTAGAGCAGATGATGGAAGCAAAGTGGAAGATGAAAAGTAGAGCAGGACAATCAGAACCAGAGCAGATAGGAAGTAGAGTGGATGGATGATAAGGATAGCAGAAAATGAGAAGTAGAAAGGACGATGATAAATGGGCACATTCTCTTAACAAATACTTGTTACTCCCCCGATTTTATTGAAAGCACCTAAAGAATCCTCATCATGATGGCTCGCTTCACTCTGCATATTATATAAATGTATTTATTTGTTGTCAAAAAACCGAGCCGCCACCACCCTCTTCACACCAATCCTCCTCTATACCTTTCCATCCTTGTTTCCTCTACATACTTTTATAAAATCTTCTTTCTCAAAACCTTTAGTCAAGTTAAATCCCGTTAATTTTTTTATATATGATGTAACAAAAAAAAGATTTCATCTGGTCACTGTGACACAATAACAACTCCCAGAGCAGTGCGATAACTGTCATTTATGCTCGTTTTTACAATACATCACCGTGGACATCATCAAATATGTCAAAGTACATTGTGAAAACTTTCTCCCTTTTTGCTACTTACTGTATGCCCACTTCTTGTTTTATTTAACTTTCTACTCTACTACATTAAAAAAAAAAAAAAATTTAAACTGTATATAAAAAGATAAATGTCAAAATGTAATCCATCCGTAAGAACTAATCGTTACAGCATTAGATATCGGGATAGAAGAATACAAAAATGGTAATATGTGATATTTTTCAGGTTCTTCTAACAGAAATGTTTTAGACCTAAACATCATAAAGAAAATATATACAAATTTTTCTACATCGGTAGTCTCCAAACTGCGGCCCGGGGGCCGGAGGTGGCTGCTTGCTTGCTTTCATCCTCTGGCGTAATTCCTCCAACACCAACGAAGAGGCACAGTTCCTCCCAATGATGGGCAGTGATACCAGCGTTGATTCTTCCCAGCCAGTGACACCAACGGTGGGCCACAAAAATTGGACATTTTTTACTCCTACTAATGCCGGGTCAGTTTCTACTTCCAATGGCCACAGTCCGGACTCCGTAAAGTCTGAAAGACAGCAAACTGGACCTTTTTTTTTTTCCCGAAAGTTTGGAGATCCCCCTACTCTGCATGATCCCTTTTAATATCTTCATGTTTGGCTTGATTTCCTTGACGGGATGACGTCCATATCCTCAGAAGACATTGTAGTATGTAAAGTTATACATGATAAACGCAGAGATCATTTCACTGCAAAAGTCCTTTGAAAATGTGAACTATGGGTCAAATGAATGGTCAATGATGCTTCATGTAGGTAACTTGAAAATCCTGTACACAGAGTTTAGTAACATATGCAATTAGTAGAGATTAAATGGGATACCTATAGGGAAATCTAACATAGAAATGGGGTTTGGGTATATTCGTCGACAGAAAGCCTGATAATAGTACACAGTGCCTGGCAGCTGCTGCAAAAGACTAGCAAAATCCTAAGAAGCATTTAAAGAGTAATGAAGGCTATACAAATGGAGTTTTTCCGATCTGTAAGTCCCTCGGGATACTGAAATGATAGAACCGTTCGATGGGTGGAACAGTCTACAAAGTGGCGGTATGGGTTTTCTGATGTGCCATTAAATGCGACTTTAGAGTAAAACATTTCCCGCACTCTGAACACGAATAAGGACGCTCTCCCATGTGAATCTTCTGGTGCGTCAGCAGGTTTCCTTGCTGAGTGAAAGACTTCCCGCACTCCGAACATGAAAAAGGGCGCTCGCCAGTGTGAATCCTCTGGTGCGTAAGAAGGTGTCCTCTCTCAACGAAACACTTCCCGCACTCTGAACACGAAAAGGGCCCGCTCGCCGGTGTGCTTCCTCTGGTGAGTGAGAAGGTCTGCTTTCCGCATGAAACTTTTTCCGCACTCCGAGCATGAAAAAGGACGCTCGCCCGTATGACCTCTCTGGTGTCTAAGAAGGTCTCCCTTTTGAGTGTAACATTTCCCGCACTCTGAGCAGGAAAAAGGGCGCTCGCCTGTGTGACTTCTCTGGTGCCGGTGAAAATTTTTTTTCCACGTAAAACATTTCCCGCAGTCCGGACAGGCATAAGGACGCTCCCCCGTGTGACTCTTCTGGTGAACGATAAGTATCCTTTTGCGAGTAAAACATTTTCCGCACTCTGGACATGAAAAAGGTCGCTCATCTGAGTGACTTGTCATGTGAATAACAAGGCTTCCTTTCTGAGTGAAACATTTCCCGCACTCTGGACAGGAAAAAGGGCGCTCTCCTGTATGACATCTTTGGTGTCTAAGAAGGTGTTCATTCCGAGTGAAACATTTCCCGCACACCGAACATGTGAAAAGACTCCCACCTGTGTGAAGTCTCCGGTGCCTCAGAAGGTGTTCTTTCCGAGTGAAGCTCTGATCGCACTCTGTGCATGGGAAAATACGCTCACCCGTGTGAGTTTTCTGGTGTTTAATAAAGTCCCTATTCCAGGCGAAACATTCTCCACAGTCTGGACACGTAAAAGGACCCTCACAATTATCTGTGCTTTCTTCTTCACCTAGAGATATTTCTGAAATTAAACCTCTCTCAGTCTCAGAACCTGGGGATCTTTTGTCTTCTATGTTAGCAACGCTATCTAAATTTCCGGAAGATGATCTCTGAAGATTTGAGGATCTATCTACACTCTGAAGTCTTGGATAGATTATTTTGTTAATAATGTGTGAATTTTCGAAAGACTCTTCCAGATGAGAAGGACCTGGCGACCCATCTGCACAGTAAAGGTTTACTCCCGGTGAATATTCTTCTGTGCCATTATCTTCTACATTACAATCTGAAGATGAAAGTTGTCTCTCCAAAGTATCCTGGACATTATATCCACCTGCTGGAGAAAACATTCATGTAAGTCATGACAGCAACGTTTGTTAGGAACATGACGTTATATTGAGGAATGGAGGTGGACCTTCCATATGGTGTCCAGTATCTCCTCCTCATTTGTTGGGAACATGACGTTATATTGAGGAATGGAGATGGACCTTTCATATGGTGTCCAGTATCTCCTCCTCATTTGTTGGGAACATGACGTTATATTGAGGAATGGAGATGGACCTTTCATATGGTGTCCAGTATCTCCTCCTCATTTGTTGGGAACGTGACGTTATATTGAGGAATGGAGATGGACCTTTCATATGGTGTCCAGTATCTCCTCCTCATTTGTTGGGAACATGACGTTATATAAGAATGGAATGGAGATGGACCTTTCATATGGTGTCCAGTATCTCCTCATTTGTTGGGAACATGACGTTATATTGAGGAATGGAGATGGACCTTTCATATGGTGTCCAGTATCTCCTCCTCATTTGTTGGGAACATGACGTTATATTGAGGAATGGAGATGGACCTTTCATATGGTGTCCAGTATCTCCTCCTCATTTGTTGGGAACATGACGTTATATTGAGGAATGGAGATGGACCTTCCATATGGTGTCCAGTATCTCCTCATTTGTTGGGAACATGATGTTTTTATTGAGGAATGGAGTTGGATAGCCCTCTGTAACATTTAGTATTCATTACTTACCAGTGTTGATGTCTAATGGAAATTCCTCTTCTTTAATGGTAACCATGACTTCTTCCTCCTCTGTAGACCGTTGATCAGGCCTTATATATGTCTCTTCTTCTTCCTCCTTATCCTCAATTTTCATAATAATGAGATCTTGCCCCTAAAATAGAATGGTGGAAAACAAAACATTTAAAACTTAGCATTAATATTTAAAGATTACATAAAACCCAAATACTTTTCAAGAAATGTTCCAAACCCTTACTAGATGCTTAACGGTGTCTACCTGGTATTGTTGGGGCATGCTGTAATCTTCTTGTGTGGAATCCTGGAAATAAACGGGGCTGGGACATCTCTCTGGTGGACTTCTGGTACTGGAGTCACCTGTCGGAAACACACACACTGACTGAATCCATTGTTTCTATGTGTTTATCAGATGATGGGGGATCTAAGTGGACCCTCTGTACTGCTCTCTCCTTTCCAATAAAGTCTCCTCTTACCCGGTGATGTGAGGGGCGGCTGATTCTCCATCATGACGTCCTTGTAGAGATCCTTTTGATCTTCTGAATCCTCCCATTGCTCAGCAGCATCTTCACTTCTTATTGGAACCTGAGACACAAGTAATATAGCAGTAATAAATCAAGAAACAAAAGAACATTCAGTAGTACAGAAACCCTGTATCAGGGTGGCTCCTCTCTCTTGCAGCCAGGGGCGGACTGGCAACTCATGGGGCCTCCGGGCAGTAAGGGATCATGGGGCCCGTGTCCTTGCCCACACTCAAAGCACACCCAAAAATGCCTATAAAAGGTACCAGGGGCATTTCATGGGGCCCCCTACTGACCCCGGGCCCTCGGGCAGTGCCCGAGTGCTCGAATGGTCAGTCCGCCCCTGCTTGCAGCATCCTATGGAGCACCCTTGCATGCAGGGACTAGAGTTGTGTCTCCCTACACTGTGTGCATCAATAAACACACACAGCCCCATAGCCTGGGATGGTAAGGCACCCCCCCCCCAGCGACTCTTCCTTCCCTTCTTCAAGGCAGCACTCTGACTGGCGACTGTACTGTCCACTGCTACCTCCTTCCCGTGAAATCCAGAAGATCAGGGAAGCAACACTGAGAGGAGGAGGAGCTTGTAGTGTTCAAAGCTGTAAACTGCAAGTGCTTGGGTAAGAATTCACACAAATAGTTTACTGGGGAATATTTCTTTTACTGCGCTCAATGCATCAAGCTAACAAAAGCTGAGGGTTCAACGCTACTTTAGCCCCCATCGTCAAGGTAGGTTTAACCTCTTCATGCCGGCCGCATGCAAATGTGGGGCCTCCCGGGGTCTGGGCCTTGACGCCGAGCTGCTGCACATTTGCGTGCAATTAACAAAAACATATGTGCTGAGGGCGCGCGCTCTGCGCGCTCCCAGCACACATGTCCGGTGCTCACAGAAAGTTCCTGATCTCCTCTTGTGATTGGGACCTTTCCCGATCATGTGACTGCCGTGACAGCGAATCACGGTGGTCACATGACCTTAAAACCCTGCCTCGCCTCCAGGCTTCTGAAACCCTTAAAGGGCCGGGAGGCGCTAGCACCAAGGGGTTAATAATGTTCTGGTATTCAAAGGATTAATGAAAGCTGGTACGGATTTGTAGTACCGGTAAAAGTGACCCGGGGGACTCCAATTCACTTTTAAAGAGCTCTGAAGGTGCAACGCCAGTCCCCACGGTGGTTCCCGTTCTTTCGGAAAGCAGGAGGAGATCGATGGAACATCAAATGCGAATGATGAACAGCGACCAACGAACCAGGAAGTGATGTGTATTACATCACTTCCGGGTTAAGAGCTGTCGGCTACTGTAGCCGGGGTAGCAGCTAATCAAACACGATCTGTGCTTGATTATCTGCAGTGGAGAACAGGAGAGACATTGGTGGTCTAACAGACCCCTGATGTCTCCATAAAGAGGACCTGTCACCTACCTGTGCTAATTCATAGGGGGCTTGTTAGCCACCTTGTGATAGCAATAAAGATTTTTGAAGTAAAAATTATTTTTTTTTTAAAAGTGTAAAATAAAGATTTATTTATTTCAGGTACCTCTATAGCGCCATCAATTTACACAGCACTTTACATATATATTGTACATTCACATCAGTCCCTAACCCTTAAGGGGCGTACAATCTAAGATCCCTAATGGCACCTGCCCGCGGGTCCGCATTCCTCTGTGCGGGTGGTGTGGCTGCATGGATTTTCGTGCGAATCCTTAGCGGCACCACCCGCACAGATGTGAACCTAGGGTCAATAGTGCTTTCTTTTTCTTTATGCCTCCATGTCATACATAGACCTGTCAGATACACTCACATCCCCACCGTTCTAAAGTGAAGAAACAATGGGAATGTTTTACTAAGGAGCGATGACATGATTATTGATCATTGAGAGTCCACCTAATATGCGCCATTAAGTCCTCAGGATTGTCTTTATCTAGACTGGATTATACGACAGAAATATCAGACATCCCATAATATAAAAAAATTCCCGCACCGCTCACCTCTCCGCTCAGCAGCTCAATCATCTTGTAGGTGGCCTCTAGAATCTTCTGAATGTTGAGTATATTAGGTTTCCGGGATTTTGGTGTGGGTGTAACATGGGGACGACTGGTCGGGGTCAGTGGCTCCTTAGAAGTCTTCTGCACTACTTCATAGTCCTAATAAAGGAGACACCAACCAATATTACTACCCAGAATCCTCCTCACCTCTCTGGTCAGGACTGTGTTTTATTAATAGAGATGAGAGTGATGTCATGTGACCCCCCAGAATCCTCCTCACCTCTCCAGTCAGGTCTGCGTTTTATTAATAGAGATGAGAGTGATGTCATGTGACCTCCCAGAATCCTCCTCACCTCTCCGGTCAGGTCTGCGTTTTATTAATAGAGATGAGAGTGATGTCATGTGACCTCCCAGAATCCTCCTCACCTCTCCGGTCAGGTCTGCGTTTTATTAATAGAGATAAGAGTGACGTCATGTGACCTCCCGGAATCCTCCTCACCTCTGTCAGGTCTGCGTTTTATTAATAGAGATGAGTGATGTCATGTGTCCTCCCAGAATCCTCCTCACCTCTCCGGTCAGGTCTGCGTTTTATTAATAGAGATAAGTGATGTCATGTGACCTCCCAGAATCCTCCTCACCTCTCCGGTCAGGTCTGCGTTTTATTAATAGAGATGAGAGTGATGTCATGTGACCTCCCAGAATCCTCCTCACCTCTCCGGTCAGGTCTGTGTATTATTAATAGAGATGACAGTTATGTCATGTGACCTCCCAGAATCCTCCTCACCTCTCCGGTCAGCATGTAGATGATCTCCACAGTGAGGTCCAATACCCTCTCAGTCATGTGACAATGCTTCTTGTCCATTCTTATTGATGTGGTCATGTGATGTATACAGGACACGCCTCTCTGTAGACTGATAAGAAATTGCAGATTATGTGGAGTGAAGCACTGTGGATTAGATTAGGTTGGGATATGAGCTCCCAGCCTTACTACTCATATTGTTATAGGTCTGAAACAAGGTCTGCCTTTGCAGCCCCCAACAACCAATTGTGTTCCATTGTATGTTTTAAAATGTGGCCACTAAGTAAAACCGGTAACGTGGGGCATTTCTGACACATTTCTCCCCTCCCACCTAGTCCATCCCTAAACCCCAACACCACCTACACAGCAATCGCCATCTTCAGCCTTTGGTGTTGGCAAGTTACGTCCTGTGACTGAAGTTCGGCACCTATGAGAAGCTGGTACTGGGCTCTCTGGTCAGCTTTAGCTCCTCTCATAGACAGAGGATGGACTGGTACTCAACAGAAGCACACTGGTAGTACAGGTGACCCAAGTAGTGTGGAGAACATCCAGAGCCACCCCAATCTCCAGCCCCAGCTGCTCCGGGATGTCCATGACATCCTTGTACAGCAGCTTACAGAAACCAACTATTTCCACCACGGCTGATCAGCTGCTGATCGGAAGGTCTACTGCCAGTATCTGGAGATACCGCTTACAGTTCTGTTTGGGAGGAGCACTCAACACCACCCCTTACCTCACCACCCACCTACTCCTTTCACCACCACCACCAACTATGCCTTCACCTCTCACCCACCCACTTTCCTACATCCTTCCTGCTCCTCTCACCACCCACTGTCCTACATACCTCCTACTCCTCTCACCACCCACTGTCCCTTCACCACCTCCTACTCCTCTCCACCCACTGTCCCTTCACCCATCCTCCTACTCCTCTCACCACCCACTGTCCCCTTCACCACCCACTGTCCCCCCCTCCTACTCCTCTCACCACCCACTGTCCCTTCACCCCCCCCTACTACTCCGCTCAGCACCCACTGTCCCTTCACCCCCCCTCCTACTCCTCTCACCACCCACTGTCCCTACATCCCCCCTCCTCCTCTCACCACCCACTGTCCTACATCCCTCCTACTCCTCTCACCACCCACTGTCCCTACATCCCTCCTGCTCCTCTCACCACCCACTATCCTACATCCCTCCTCCTCTCACCACCCACTGTCCCTTAATCCCTCCTACTCCTCTCACCACCCACTGTCCTACATTCCTCCTGCTCCTCTCACTCCTCTCCACCACTCACTGTTCCTACATCCCTCCTACTCCTCTCACCACCCACTTTCCTACATCCTTCCTGCTCCTTTCACCACCCACTGTCCTACATCCTTCCTGCTCATTTCACCACCCACTGTCCTACATACCTCCTACTCCTCTCACCAGCCATTGTCCTACTTCCCTCCTACTCCTCTCACCACCCACTGTCCTTTCATCCCTCCTACTCCTCTCACCACCCATCGTCCTACATCTGTCCTACTCCTCTCACCACCCACGGTCCCTACATCCCTTCTACTCCTCACACAGTTAGGTGTGAGGATATTTGGACACAGGCACAATTTTAGTTTTTTTTCAGGTATTTACCAAAACATATTCCAGCTCTAGATCTATAATGGATATGAGCTGAAAGTGCACACGCTCAGGTTTAATTTGAGGGTATGTACATCCAAATTGGAGGAAGGGTTTAGGAATTACAGCTCTTAAGAGTAGACATCCCACCTTTTTCAAGGTACCAAAACTAAGTGGACAATTGAATCAAAAGCCGTTTCATGGCCAGGTGTGGGCTACTCCTTCGTTCTTTCTTCATCAATTAAAGAGGTAAAAGGTCTGGAGTTGATTCTGAGTGTGGTATTTGCATTTGGAATCTATTGCTGTGAGCCTATATCATGCGTTCAAAGGAGCTGTCCATGCAAGTGAAACAGGACATTGAAGGCTTCAAAAACAAAACAAATCCATCAGAGAGATTGCAGCAACATTAGGAGCGGCCAAATCAACAGTTTGGTCCATTCTGAGGAAAGAACGCACTGGTGAGCTCAGCAACATAAAAAGGCATGGACGTTCACAGAAACAACAGTGGTGGATGATCGCAGGATCCTCTCTATGGTAAAGAAAAACCCATTCACAACATCCAGACAAGTGAAGGACACTCTCCAGGAGGTGGGCGTATCATTGTCAAAGTCTACAATCAAGAGAAGACATCACGAGAGCAAATACAGAGGGTTCACCACAAGGTGCAAATACAGAGGGTTCACCACAAGGTGCAAACCATTCATGAGCCTGAAGAATAGAAAAGCCAGATTAGACTTTGCCAAAAGAACTCTAAAAAAGCCGGACCAGTTCTGGAAACGCATTGTTTGGACCGATGAAACTAAGATTGATTTGTACCAGAAGGACGGGAAGAAAAAAGTGTGGAAAAGGCTTGGAACAGCTCAGATCCAAAGCACACAACGTCATCTGTAAAACATGGTGGAGGCAGTGTGATGGCATGGGTATGCATGGCTTCCAGTGGCACTGGGTCATTGGTGGTTATTGATGATGTGACAGAAGACAGAAGCAGCCGGATGAATTCTGCCGTGTTTACAGATATGCAAAGGTGATTGGACGGCGCTTCACAGTACAGATGGACAATGATCCAAAACACACTGCAAAGGCAACCCAGGAGCTTTTGAAGGAAAAGAAATGGAATATTCTGCAATGGCCAACTGAGCATGCATTTCCCTTGCTGAAGGCAAAACTAAAGGCAGAAAGACCCCACAAAGAACTGAAGACAGCTGCAGTTAGAGCCTGGCAAAGCCAGAAAAGGGATCCAGACTTCAGGCAAAGCATCAGAAAGGAGGAAACCCAGTCTTTGGTAACACCCATGGGTTCCAGACTTCAGGCAAAGCATCTGAAAGGAGGAAACCCAGTCTTTGGTAATGTCCATGGGATCCAGACTTCAGGCAAAGCATCAGAAAGGAGGAAACCCAGTCTTTTGTCATATCCATGGGTTCCAGACTTCAGGCAAAGCATCAGAAAGAAGGAAACACAGTCTTTGGTCATGTCCATGGGTCCCAGACTTCAGGCAAAGCATCAGAAAGGAGGAAACCCAGTCTTTGGTAACGTCCATGGGTTCCAGACTTCAGGCAGTCATTGCCAGTAAAGGATACTCAACAAAATATTACAAACGAACATTTTATGTACTCTTAAGAGCTGTAATTCCTAAACCCTTCCTCCAGTTTGGATGTACATACCCTCAAATTAAACCCGAGAATGCGCACTTTCAGCCCATATCCATTATAGAACTAGAGCTGGAATATGTTTTGGTAAATACCTGAAAAAATCTAAAATTGTGCATGTGTCCAAATATATATGGACCTAACTGAGTGAGGAGTAGAAGGGATGTAGGGACCGTGGGTGGTGAGAGGAGTAGGAGGAATGTAGGACAATGGCTGGTGAGAGGAGTAGGAGGGATGTAGGACAATGGCTGGTGAGAGGAGTAGGAGGGATGTAGGACAATGGCTGGTGAAAGGAAGTAGGAGAGATGAAAGGACAGTGGGTGAGAGGAGTAGGAGGAATGTAGGACAATGGCTGGTGAGAGGAGTAGGAGGATGTAGGACAATGGCTGGTGAGAGGAGTAGGAGGGTATGTAGGACAATGGCTGGTGAGAGAGTAGGAGGTATGTAGGACAATGGCTGGTGAGAGGAGTAGCAGGAATGTAGGACAATGGCTGGTGAGAGGAGTAGGAGGGATGTAGGACAATGGCTGGTGAGGAGAGGAGGATGTAGGACAATGGCTGGTGAGAGGAGTAGGAGGTATGTAACAAAAATAGCTTACTTCAGCATAGAAAACAGGAAACAGCTTTTTTGCCAATAACATCATAAGTAGAACTAAATATACAAATCAAAACATATTTAATATTGTTATTATCATTACTGTGCACCTCAAACCCGCCTGTCACCTAAACCCCCCCTCAGGCTTAAGAAACGATGAAACATCTATTCCATGCATGCCGCCTTTTTTTTTTTTTAGAAATCTGAGTTTATAAAAAATCTAGGACAGAATGAAAAGCCACGCCCCCAAAGACTGACAGACATCAGTTATGGGGACCTGACATTCCTCCACACCTTTGTCCAGGCTCCCGGCAGCCACCACCTGTCCTTCTCAAGGTCTCGAATCTTCCCAACCTCACCCAGAATGTTGTGCACCACCACCTCAACCGGGCTTTTTTGCAAATGGAAACCTGACATGTGTAGTAACGGACTACTAAGCTAACAAGAAAAAGTGTCTTGAAATCAAAGTCCCAGAGAGTTTGAAAGGCACTGTAAGACCACTCCGCGTAACTCAAGCAGGAAAGGAAAGGGATCCCCAGAGCTTCTCCCACCCACTTGTAGACTTCTATATTGAATGGGCACTGAAGCAAGAAATGGTCCTCTGGTAGAGACTGATGTGACTGTGGGGGAGGGGACATTAGAGCGTAAGCTCCTCTGGTACAGAGACTGATGGGACTGTGGGGGAGGGGACATTAGAGCGTAAGCTGCTCTGGTACAGAGACTGATACAGAGCTTCTCCCACCCACTTGTAGACTTCTATATTGAAGGGGCACTGAAGCAAGAAATGGTCCATTGTCTCCTCCACCCCACCACACTCCACTCTTGGACAACCACGATTCTCCGCAGAGCAATGCTTCAGGTTGCCCTTCACATAGAGTCTGCCATGGAACGAGAGCCAGGCCAAATCCCAAAACTTTAAAGGGATTCTCTCCAGATTAATCAAACTCAGGACCCTCCCTCATAACAGGGGCTGGGCAATCCCTCACGGCAAATGGCTCGCTAATGGCAGATTCAACAACCCTCCTCTCCAGTACCTTCCTAGGAAGAGACTTAGTTTCCACCTCCATCACTCGCCATTGCCGAACCATTTTCAGGCATGGGGCAACACAAGTCGGGAGCTTACCATGTTGGACCCCCAGGCTTTTCAATGACCCACCATTCTCCCAGCTCCGCAGAAAAGGCCTAAACCAGGACTGAAAAATATCAGCCCACCCAGGCGGTGCCTCTGCCAGCATGCTACCAAAATGATGTTTCAAAAACATCAGAGAAAAGAAAACTAATGAGCATACCTAGCATACCTAGGCCACCCATCCGCCTGGGAAGGTAGGTTACAGACCTCTTAACGAGGTTCAGTCTGTGCCCCCATAACAGCTGGAAGAAACTGTAGATCTTTGCATAGAGAGACACTGGTACAGAGACTGATGTGACTGCGGGGGAGGGGACATTAGAGCGTAAGCTCCTCTGGTACAGAGACTGATGGGACTGCGGGGGAGGGGACATTAGAGCGTAAGCTCCTCTGGTACAGAGACTGATGTGACTGTGGGGGGGGGGGACATTAGAGTGTAAACTCCTCTGGTACAGAGACTGATGGGACTGGCTCAGTGATCTCTGTACAGGGCTGCATTATAGTGTCAGAACTATATAAATATAGAATAATGGGACTAGTCAGTGATCTGTGGGGCAAGGGACATTAGAGTGTAAGCTCCTCTGGTACTGAGACTGATGTAGCGTGTGACTGGGGGCAGGGGACATTAGAGTGTAAGCACCTCTGGTGCAGAGACTGATGTGACTGTGGGGGGGAGGGGACATTAGAGTGTCAGCTCCTCTGGTGCAGAGACTGATGTGACTGTGGGGGAGGGACATTAGTGTCAGCTCCTCTGGTACAGAGACTGATGGGACTGTGGGGGAGGGGACATTAGAGCGTAAGCTCCTCTGGTACAGAGACTGATTTGACTGTGGGGGAGGGGACTATAGAGCGTAAGCTCCAATGGTACAGAGACTGATGGGACTGTGGGGGAGGGGACTATAGAGCGTAAGCTCCGATGGTGCAGAGACTGATGGGACTGTGGGGGAGGGGGCATTAGAGCGTAAGCTCCTCTGGTACAGAGACTGATGGGACTGGCTCAGTGATCTCTGTACAGCGCTGCGGTATATGTCAGAGCTATATAAATGTATAATAATAATAATAGTAGTGTGTGACTGTGGGGGAGGGGGCATTAGAGTGAAAGCTCCTCTGGTACAGAGTGCAATATGAGCAATTAATGTAACATCTTATTACCTCCTCTCCTGCCAGTTCCAGCAATGTCTCCTCTATTTCCTTTCAACAATCCCCTCACCCCCAATTTCCTGTCTCTTGGTTCATTTCCTGTCTGTACATTCCACAACTTCCACTCTGTGACATCATTTCCTGTCTATGTGTCTTAGCACTTCCTGTCTGTAGGCTGTGCTCAGAATAGGTGAGGTCACCACATGGTGGAGATTGGAGGAACTGCAGCCTTTTTGTTCCATTGAATTATACAAAGAAGCTTTTAATATTTGTGTTGGAAGCCATCCCTCTCTGAAGATTGCCTTCTCTCTCTCTCTCTCTCTCTCTCTCTCTCTCTCTCTCTCCAAAGAGCGCCGTGATTGGAGGAGAGACAGTCATGTGACTTTTCAAGAACTTTCTTGCAACTCTGTTGCCCTCCAATGGCGTAAAGGAGTTGTGGCCGGAGGAGCACAAGCGTAAAACACTTTTTTTTTTACTTCATTCCCTCTGCAGTCCGTGTTCATTGTGTGGTTCAGGGTGCCTTTTTGGTGCATTTTTTGGCATATTTTATTCTTCTTTCACTACCACAATATTTATTTAGTATAATTGTTAGGGGTAGGTGGGTGGTACTTTCCGCCATGTGTCCCTTCTAGTTCTGTTGCAGCAGACTCTGAGTGTGGACCAGGGGTAGACTGACCATTTGGGCTCCCGGCCACGGCCTGTGGTCAATAGGGGGCCCCATGAGATGCCCCTGGTACCTTTCATAGGCTTTTTTGAGTGTGGGTGAGGACACAGGGGCCCCATGATCCCCTTGAGTTGTCAGTCCGCCCCTAGTCTGGACAGAGCCCATCCCCCTTTTACAGCACAGGGAGAGAGGCAGAGCTCAGCAAAAAGTGCAAGAAACCAGGTAAGCGGTTTCCCTTCTGGCTGGGGCTGAAGCTGTGATCACATAGGAGGCCTACACCAGGGAGTGTTCTTCTGGGATCCTTGAACGGGGTCACTCACCTTACTCGAGGGGTACCTTTTACAGCATCATATTTATCAATGCCTCGATCTGCTTTCAGGGATAACTCAACCTTAAGGCGGTCTTCCAACTCAACGATGGCTGTACCAGCGAGTACACTTGCACAGTAAAAACGGGACTCCAGTGAACTCTCTCCATCCCCGTGTCACCACTAATGACATTTGCTGCATTTAGGGTGGACACGCTGAGCCTCTGCCCGCTCCACCTGCCCAGCATATCTCCGCCACCTCACTCCCGGTAGCAAAATGGGGGGTCCATGCGCACGCTCACTTAGCTCACCAACTATACTCTCCGCTTCTCGCACGACCTCCCGTTCTCTAGCTCCCTCGTCTCCTCCTCCCTCAGCTATATCCTGGAATCTTCTATTAGCTGAGGGCAGCCTATCCTGCCCTCAGCTAATAATGGAATCTTCTATTCCTCCTACCAGTCCATCCCCCACAGTTATTACTTTTGTACCACTAGCCCCTCCCTCTTAGATTGTAAGCTCCCAGGATCAGGCCCTCCTAACCCTCTTGCATTGAACTGTGTCTCCCATTATATTGTAAAGCGCTGAGCAAACTGTTGGCGCCATAAATCCTGTATAATAATTATAACTTTCTTTTCCGTACATGTGCCCAGTTTGAGAACCTCTACAGTGCTGATCTACTCCCGTTGCTATGGGAGACGGATCGCTCATGGCGAGAGTGCAACTCCCTCAATGCAAGAGGCTGCCCAACCTATTACAGGCACACACTTCACGATAGGCTGCTTGGGGGACCTTCTTTACTCTTGGTGACCACTTGCTGTACTCTTTAGTATTTTTATTCTTGTTCTGTTGTCTTCATACCCCAAGGTGTTTCCTACCCAGGGCGGTGGCTACATGCATTACACCCGTTTAGAATCTTCAGACCAGGCAAGGGCAAGGTTTCAAAAGCTTTACTGAAAAACTGTCAGCATCACAGAGCACTGTCCCCAATTCATAACTAGGCTTGGGGCTGCCCCAGCATACCTGTCAGGGCTCCGGGTATGACCAGAGGTGTGTGGACTGACACAGGGAAACGCAGGCTTCAGGTATAGAGTAAACAAGACAATTTATTAAAAGACTAAACAACACAAACGCAGTGCAAGGTAGACATAACACAGTGCAAACAACCCAACCTCCAACAGATAACTATATATACAAATCAAACGTAGTCGGGCAGGCCGGGTCGGTAGCAAACGGGCAAACAGGGTACCAGGAGCGAGTGGAAGAGTGGTCAGGAATAGCCGAGGTCAGGACAGGCGGAGTTCGTTAAGAGTCAAGATCAAAGCAGAATCAGGATCAGGCAGGAAGCAGACAAGTTGCAGGTACAGGGGCTCATGGGAAACATACACCAAGGCACTGATCACAGGCCTGGTCCTGCTTAAATACACCTCCTGCAATCAGCCTCAGGTGATGGCCTGATTGCAGGAGTGAGATTCTGGCTGCTGAGAGCACCCATTGGCCAGCCTTGGTACTGCAGCACACAAGGCAGGTGAGTCACACCACCATTGGCGAGTCCATTCCTGACAGTACCCCCCCCCCCTCAAGGAGCGCCTCAGGACGCTCCAAACAGTCCTTAGTGGGCAAAATGTTCCACCGCCCGGGTCAGGTAACTGGCTGGATATCAGGGGCTGGCACAACAGGCTGGGCAGCGGGCGGAGGCACATCAGGCTGGGCAGCTGACGGAGGCACATCAGGCTGGGCAGTGGACGGAGGCACATCAGGCTGGGCAGCGGATGGAGGCACATCAGGCTGGGCAGCGGGCAGAGGCACAGGCTGGGCAGCGGGCACCGGCACATCAGGCGGAGCAGCGGGCACCAGCCATCAGGCAGAACTGCGGGCACCGGGCCATCAGGCAAGGCAGCAGGCACCGAGTCATCTGGCAGAACAGCAGGCACCGGGTCACCAAGCTCGACAGCGGGCACCGAGTCACCTGGCACGACAGCAGGCACCGAGTCATCTGGCACAACAGCGGGCACCGAGTCACCAAGCTCGACAGCGGGCACCGAGTCACCAAGCTCGACGGGGCACCGAGTCACCTGGCACGACAGCGGGCACCGAGTCACCTGGCACGACAGCGGGCACCGAGTCATCTGGCACGACAGCGGGCACCGAGTCATCTGGCATGACAGCGGGCACCGAGTCACCAAAGTCGACAGCGGACACCGGGTCATCAGGCTGGATCAGGTCATCAGGCTGGATCGGGTCATCAGGCTGGGTAGCGTACACCAGATCATCAAGCTGGATCGGGTCATCAGGCTGGATCGGGTCATCAGGCTCGGGCCATCAGCGGGCACCAGATCATCAAGCTGGATAGGATCATCAGGCTGGGTAGGATCATCAGGCCGGATCGGGTCATCAGGCTGGGTAGCGTACACTGGGTCATCAGGCATCAGGGCATCAGGCTGAACAACGGAAGGCGGGTTCACAGACGGCAGGCTGACCAGTTTGGATACTGGTAGGATGGTACTGGTTGGAAAGAATTTTCGCTTCTTCTTGGGTTTAGTTACTGGGGCACTGCAAGTAAATGCAGGTCTGTAAATGGAGGGAGTAGCTGGAGACAGAGAAGAGCTGGAGGATGGAACAGAGGAGGGAATAGTTGCTACAGCTGCCTTTTTTTACAGGGTTAAAGGCAGGATAGGTGCAGCGAGTGGGAACAGGGTACTGACATGTGGTAGATAGCAGGGTAAATTGGGCTGTCACTGGGGGTGCTGTCGGGAATGCAGGAATAGAGCTTTGAGCAGAGGAATGATTGGAAGCAGGACTGGTTTGTTGCAAGCTGCCTGAGGCTGGGTGTAACAAGTCTGACCAGGACTGTAGTATTGGTTGAACAAAACTCAGCTTACACATAGCCTGTCTGACCAAAGACTGCACTGCGTTTATAAAGTCTACTAGCACATGTGGTGAACATGCTGAATAATGCTCCCAGAAGCAATCCGGATCATACTCCAACAACCATACCAGTGATTCTATTTGATCCGTACTGAATGGTGGAAAAAAGTCATTCCTGCTTTCAGGGGTATTAGATGAAGCCAACTCAATACAAGCCTGAATCAATGGTTGCACCTCAGAGAACTCCGTGCCTTGATCTACTAGGGAATGAGCGACCCGTATGCACTCTAGCAGCTGATCCCTGGCATACTCCTGCGAAGTCTGATAGGCATATTCTCTGTCATCTAAGACTAGCAGATACAAGTATATAACCTTCTCCGGATGCATCCTTCACAACAACAAGCCAAGATGGCTTCCCTGTGCAGCCACTTCTGGTCAGGAATGGCCTTGGTATAATGTCAGGGCTCCGGGTATGACCAGAGGTGTGTGGATGGACACAGGGAAATGCAGGCTTCAGGTATAGAGTAAACAAGACAATTTATTAAAAGACTAAACAACACAAACGCAGTGCAAGGTAAACATAACACAGTGCAAACAACCCAACCTCCAACAGATAACCATATATACAAATCAAATGTAGTCGGGCAGGCCGGGTCGATAGCAAACGGGAAAACGGTACCAGGAGCGAGCGGAAGAGTGGTCAGGAATAGCCGAGGTCTGGACAGGCGGAGTTCATTAAGAGTCAGGATCAAAGCAGGATCAGACAGGATGCAGGTACAGGGGCTCATGGGAAACATACACCAAGGCACTGATCACAGGCCTGGTCCTGCTTAAATACACCTCCTGCAATCAACCTCAGGTGATGGCCTGATTGCAGGAGTGAAATTCTGGCTCCTGAGTGCACCCGCTGGCCAGCCTTGGTACTGCAGCCCACAAGGCAGGTGAGTCCCACCACCATTGGCGAGTCCATTCCTGACAATACCTGCACAGATTCATGATCAGGAAAGTCCCTTGTGGTAGCAGTCCATGATGTTGCAGTTCTCCAGGAAACTTGGGGGCTACAAGGCTCAGCAAAGTGAAGAAATGTCACCAGCACACAAAGGATTCCTGAGGCCCTGAAACGTTGCCTTTGTGCTTGCCATGTCTGGTCCTGCCCCTCCTCTCTTCATACAGCCAGAGTGACAGCATCTGGTCCTGCCCCTCCTGTCTTCATACAGCCAGAGTGACGGCATCTGGTCCTGCCCCTCCTCTCTTCATACAGCCAGAGTGACGGCGTCTGGTCCTGCCCCTCCTCTCTTCATACAGCCAGAGTGACAGAGTCTGGTCTTGCCACCTCCTCTACATAGACAGGGTGAGCGACGGGCACTGTCTCCACCTCCATGCTTCCATTGGCTGTCCCTCAGGATCGGGGAGAGAGAAGCGGACAGGCCAAGCAGAGGGATTGGTGTGGAGGCTCTGCGTGTGTGCCCAGGCAGCTGGTGGCGTTTCCCCCCAGAGGCCTATGATAGGAGGCCCCTCCACACTGCTGCTCTCTGCTGAGCCCTGACTCCAAAGTGCTGTCTCTGGTCACCAGCCTGACATTAAAGCTCAGTGAGGGATTAGGCACACCCAGCATACCCCGTGCTGAGCTCTGACCCCAAAGTGCTGTCCCTGGTCACCAGCCTGACATTAAAGCTCAGTGAGGGATTAGGCACACCCCAGCATAACCCCGTGCTGAGCTCTGACCCCAAAGTGCTGTCCCTGGTCACCAGCCTGACATTAAAGCTCAGTGAGGGATTAGGCACACCCAGCATACCCCGTGCTGAGCTCTGACCCCAAAGTGCTGTCCCTGGTCACCAGCCTGACATTAAAGCTCATGGAGTGATTAGGCACACCCAGCATACCCCGTGCGCACGCCTATGCTCCTGGACGTTCCCCGAGTGGATACAGGAACCAAATGTAGTTTGTTTAATCTGAAAATACAAAATGGAACTCACCACCCCTCTCTAACTACAAACATATTGCTCCCCTTGCCCCATCAGCCTCCCACTATGCCGTCCTGTATTTCCTCCTCTTGGGTTGTAGGATCGTTCCGAAAGGTCCTCTCCTCCTCCCGTGACCTGTTTTTATAATGCTTGTTTGTTCTGTGTAATTTTGTGTTCCTTTATTATGTGACATATGTTGCTGTGTAATGTACACACACTGGCCAGTTTTTTTTTAGGTCCACCTCGCTACCCGGTGTGGTCTTCTGCTGCTGCAGCCCATCCGCTTCAAGGTTGGACGTGTTCAGAGAAGGTATTCTGCATACGTTGGTTGTAATGAGTGGTTATTTGAGTTACTGTTGCTTTTCTATTGTAACGGAACCAGACCCCGACTGCGCTAGGGTATTTCCGATAGACTTCCAATAGAACAACTTTCCCCATACGGGCTCTATGCCAAGGCAGATAAATGCAGTTTCGAGCACACAGCATCCCGTTACTGGGATTAATCATCTCCACCACAGGAATTGGCATGGACCCTCAGAAAATTTCTGCAATCCTAGAATGGCCGGTACCCTCTGATAAGAAGGGCATACAGCGGTTCATTGGCTTCGCCAACTTTTATCGGAAGTTCATCAAGAACTTCTCAGGCCTCGTTGTCAGGGCAGGAGCTGAGGAACAGACAGGCAGGCCTAATAACAATGTAACGCACTGGCTGGCGACAACCACCACCCACAGACCAAAGTCCCCCAGGGTGCAGAGTCTAAGTCCCAGGCTGCCCTTCACCAGGGCCCCTGATGGTGGGGATGGACTTGACGCAGCCAGGAACCAGGTCGCGGCCCCCCGAGACACCTCAGTTGCGGTAATGGCCGCCCCCAATGGCGTGAAGCTGGTGGAAAAGACAATAGAGTAGTCGGGCAGGCCGGGTCGACAACAATGGGACAAAACGGTACAGGACAGCAGACGAGAATCACGGGTCACGGGCCGAGTTCAGCAACGGAGGGTCAGATCAAAGGAGAACACAAAGAATGGTCAGGTCACAAGCCCCCCCCCCCTCCGCAGCTCAACAAAAGGCTTCTGAGGAAAGCGGGCATAAAAAGCGCAGAGGAGGGCAGGAGCATGGACATCCGCAGAAGGAACCCAGGAACGCTCCTCGGGACCATAACCGCCGCTAATGAACCAGGAACTGCAATCGACCGCGCACCAATCGAGACTCCAGGATCCGGCTCACCTCATACTCCTCATGACCGTCAACCCGGATGGGACGGGGGCCGAGGCAGAGAGGTAGTGAAGCGATTGCAGATCAGGTTTCAATAGGGATACATGAAAGATATTGGAGATCCGCATCCCAGGAGGAAGGGCAAGGGCATAGGCCACCGGATTCACCTTGCGGAGAATGCGAAAAGGCCCAACAAAACGGGGAGCTAGTTTGGGTGTGGGCACCCAAAGATTGAGGTTGCGAGTAGACAACCACACCCGATCGCCGACCTGGTATGAAGGAGCGGCAACCGTCTGCGATCAGCCTGGAACTTCTGGCGCTGGGCTGAGTCTCTCAAGGCCCTCTGGATCTGCCCCCATGAAGAACGCAGGGCAGCAAGATGGCTCTCCACAGCCAGAATGTCCTGTGGTGAGAACCTCTCAGGTAATACCGCGGGTTGGAACCCATAGTTGGCCATGAAGGGAGACATCCCGGAGGAGGAGTTGACAGCCGAGTTCCTGGCAAACTCTGCCCAAGGCAGGAGATCGGCCCAATCGTCCTGATGGTCCGAGATATAACACCAAAGGAATTGTTCTAAGGCCTGATTGGAACACACTCCGCAGCCCCATTGGATTGCGGGTGGTAGGGTGAAGAAAAGGAGAGACTAATACCCAACTGGGAGCAAGAGAAGGCGCGCCAGAATCTAGACACGAACTGACTCCCATGGTCCGAGACAATCACCTTAGGCAACCCATGCAGGCAAAAAATCTCCCTGGAAAAGACCGTGGCCAGTTCTTGCGCTGTTGGTAATTTCCTGAGTGGAATGCAATGGCACATCTTGGAAAACCGATCAACGACCATGAGGATGACCGTATGACCCCGAGACACGGGGGAGGTCTACAATAAAGTCCATACCTAGGTGTGACCAAGGACACTCCCCATTGGGAATGGGTTGCAGAAGACCCAAAGGGAGATGCCGTGGAGACTTATTCTGGGCACAGATCGAACATGCCGCTACATAAGAGGCAATGTCGGCACGGAGGGTTGGCCACCAGAATAAACGAGAGACGACCCAGCACAGCTGGTTCTTCCCTGGATGCCAGGCCGTTTTGGCGTTTATGGTAGGTACGCAGCAGGCGGGTGCGCAATCCCTCGGGTACGAAACATCTACCCTCCGGCCTCCCGGGAGGAGCGTCAGTTTGAGCTGCCAAAATCTGCTCCCCAAGGGGAGAGGTCAGACTGGTGCGAATGGCAGCCAGGATCTGATCTGGAGGTATAACTGAAATTGGCTCAGAGTCCTCCCTGGACAACTCAGAGTATTGCCGTGAT